GTTTAACAGAGTCCAATGAATCAAGACATTATGTTTGATGCATTAACTTACTTACACTTTGTATCTGTGTCTGTGTGTGTGTTTGTGTATGTGCCTTCAAGTCAGTCTTGACTCCTGGTGACTGCCTGAACTAGTCCCTGTAGTTTTCTTGGCAAGATTTCAGAAGTGGTTTGCTATTGCTGCCTTCCCAGGGCTGAGAGAGAGGGACTGGCCGAAGGTCACCCAGCTGGCTTCATGCCTAAGGCAGGACTAGAACTCACAGTCTCCCAGTTTCTAGCCTGATGCCTTAACCACTACACCAAACTGGAGCTCTACTTACACATACAGATACACATACTTATACACTAATTTATTTACCTACACACATACAATCCAGGTACAGATACTGATACACTCACTCACTCAACATAGAGAAGGGTGGAATCAATCTTTTCCAATGATGGTTATGAGATTGAAGATAACAAAAAAGCCAGAAATGTGTGTGGAATTGTAGCCTCCTGGATAATAACTTTCATGTAGATAATTATTTATAAAATGTATAGCAACTTTTCATTAAAAGTAGTAACCACGAAGGTGGCGGGGGGCGGGGGAGGAAGGTACGAAGTAGGAATAAAACTATAAAACCGCAACATTTTACAATAAAAAAGACACCTGTATTGAGAATGTCATCTTTGGGGAGTGCTATAGAGAAAGTTCTGTCGAGGCAATCTCCATCTGATCTTAATGACCAGCAGATAAGATTATCCACTGGTATTCAGGTCTAAACCTTGGGGAGCTTTATATGCCAATACTTGGCCATATAGAAGATTGGCCAGCCAATGTAGCTCCTTCAAAATAAGTGTAATAAGTTGTTTGCCTAACTGCAGCATTGTAAACCAGCTGCAGCATCCTGGCCAAACTGCACTGCAAATGGTAATGCAACCACCCAGTCCTAAGGTTACCAGTGTAGAGATGATTGTGGCCAGTATAGGCTTATAGACTCTAAACTTCATGCCTACTCTTTCAGAGGGAGGGAGGGAGGGAGGGAGGAAGGAAGGAGGACACAGCCTCCTTTTTCCAAGCAACCTCCCCAGTTTCTAGAAAGGGAGAACTACCACCATGCCTCTCTCTTTTTAGGATTCTACTTAAATTTCCTAGCCCCCATTTCATCTGCCCTCGATCCAGACACAGACAAGAGGGCTGCCAATTTTTTTCTGACTCAAATGATAAAATGAAAAGAGCTCGGTTTTGGCATTATACTGCTGACATTTTGTTTCTGATTTTCTAATGAATGCAATGAAAGCTTCACACAGACATTGAATAGCATTAGGATAGTATGGAGCTTAACTGTACAGTATTTCAGTGCTATTCTCTGAGCCCAGCCCTATAAGTAGGAGAGAAACTATAACAATATTGTCCTCTAAATAACCAACCACAGTACCATTCTGGAAGCAAACAAACAAATGCTCCCCAAATGCTATTAAGGAGAACTAGCAAAAATTGGGCTCTTAATGTATCTGTTGCAATAAGAGTTTGGGGTAATTCAGTCTCCTACCGGATCTGAATCTATATCGGAATTTTTTTCAATCAGCTTCTTATAAATGTAATTGAACCAGTACTGGCAATACTTTGTCAATCACTTTCCCTGAAGAAGGGTATGAGTAAATAGTTTGTAGTTTTTAAGAATTTTAAAGTCCAATGTGGGTTTCTTGAGAAGTGGGTTATACTAACCTTTCTTTCAATGCATTTGGCATTCACCCCTCCTGTCAAACTTTGCATAGCATACTCTGTACCCATATAGTAAATCCCCTCAAACTAGTAGGGATGTGTAGACTAAGTTTGTACAAAACATTGCAAATTCAGAATGGCCTGAGTTTGGAACATCTTCAGAATGGTTGAAAAACTTCAGGTAAAGTCAGAACATTTTGGACTCAAAATGGACTGTTTTAAGCTTGAAACATTTTGCATACTACTTAGTGCAGATCATTTTACTACTTCTTTGACAAGGCAGATTTCCACTCTGGGAGAAATCTGGATTTTATCTGGACATAAAGCTGTTGATCTGCATAGGTACAACTAGAGAGTGTTCTAGAGAAGGCTGCTTTTTCTTTGCAATGTGTCCTGGAGTGCTCCCTTTTAAAACCAGTTTTTAAACCAGTTCTTTCTTTTAACTGTAGGAAAGGAAGACGCGGAACAATGGATATTTCCATGTTAAAAATCTAGAAGAGTCTGTGACGAATCTATTTGTTGCTGGTGTGGAAACAACTTCAAGCACTCTGTTCTGGGCCTTCACTCTAATGATAAAATACCCTTTAATTCAGAGTAAGTACTTTACAATTCGTTGGCTTCCATTATTTTAGTACATCTTGATTTCAGTTATATGATGTTAGACCTGGAGTAATTAAGAAATGACTTTGGGTAATACCTGAATGTAGGGGAAAAAAGAACCAAGGAATTATATTTCCTAGTTTCTATACCGGCTTGAATCATGCAGAAGTACGAATGGAGCACCTGCCTGCAGTACCTTAAAGCAACTGCTCCTTTTCCTGGGATTGCATCCTTCTGCATGTTCCAGAGCATGTTTTGGAAGCCAAATCCAAAGCATGGTATAGCCCTAGCATTTAGTGAGCACAAGTTATTAGTCACTGGAAAACTACGATGATGCAAGATGTTGACATCTAAGCTCCAAATACATGACTGTTATGTTATATGATTACAAATATGTATAGTCCACTCGACCCAACAGGCAGGGTACAACAAAGTCATACATAAGAGGGAGAGAGAGAAAACGCACAGTTATTAAAACCTCCCCTACACAGTAAAAACCTGATAGGTACCCAACGGCTTAAGGCACCTGAAAATCCAAATGCCTGCTGAAACAGTGCTGCTTTGGCTATTGTATGGCAGTAGGATAGGTGGCATTTGTACCTCCAAGGGGGCTTCTTCCATAGAGTAGGGTCTGCCACTGAGAAGGCTTGCTACCTGGTTCATCCTCCAGGCACCTGTTGAAGAGAGGGGAACCTGCAACAGGCTGTCTCTTGATAACCAAACTGGATAGGCACATTCAGTTTTGGCAAGCTGTTGTCTGATATATCGCAGTCTTGTGCGTAAAAAGCACAGGTAATAACCAGCAATCATATGTACACTTAGAGGTCCTGTGCTGCTTTTCTCTGCATATATGTTCTTGGACTACTCGTGCTCAGTTTCCAGAGGAAATCTGCATCTCATGTCAACTGTAAGCAACGGGATTTAATATTTCCAAGCATTAGCACCATGTCCAACAACCCTGAGATGCTCTTACTGGATATTATTGTTTTACTATCTCAGAAAAGATCCAGGAAGAAATAGCAAACGTTGCTGGGTCTGCTCAGCCCAGAGCTGAACACCGAACAAAAATGCCATACACAGATGCTGTACTTCATGAAGTTCAAAGATATGCTGATATTCTTCCCTTAAACTTGCCACATGCAACTACAACGGACGTTACCTTTAAGGGCTACTTCATTGCAAAGGTGATATATCTGTGTTGTTCACTTTCTCGTCTCAGCTAGTCAGCTGGTTACTATCAGTCTACTTATTGTAGTATAGCAGGAAGCAATCTTTAAAAGCTTTCATTAACACTTCCCACCACACTTCGTTAAACCCAGGACTACGGTAATCTGGCAAATTTGATTTTATTCAGATTCGATGGAGGCACAAGCTTGCACCCAGATACAAGTGTGCATTATAGGAGGAGAGCTACGTTAGTCTATAGTAACCAAAAATCAGAAAGAGTCTATATTACCGTAATTCTCAAATAGGAATACAAGCTATTTTTAGAAATAATGATGTCATGATGTTCTCATATATTCTCTGAGAACATGTATGCATGCGTGCCCTGCCCTTTTTGCCATCCGCATGTAACATGTGAGAATATGCTATGGAAAAACTCTCCGTCCGTGGAGGAAATCCACAGGAATGAAGACACTGGATTCCTAAGGTTCGGAAAGTTTCCATGGATCAAGAGGCTTTCCATTGCAGATACCTCTTTCTCCATACATAGATGGGGACACATGGAGAATGAGGGTAGCGTATTGTTTGAACAGGGTTAAAAGTCCTGGGCCTACCGCCCTAAGACTAGGAAGTAGGGAATTAGCAGGATTTACTACAAAGCAAGCCCATGTCGTTTTTTTGTGCTTGCAGTCCAGCAGAAAGGCCTTTTACAAGTCCATTGTATTGTTGCCAGCAGAAACAAAGTCACAAAGAAGTTCAGCAATTCAAGGATCTCTTCTACGCAGTCCAGCACTTTCTCTTGGGACTGAGTGGCTGCCATACAGTCTTGGGGAGAATGTGCATGGTTTGAAGGTCTCCCAACAGATGCTGTCTGTGTTTACATGGACCAACTCCTGTTTTGCCTTTGAATCTGGACCTTTTGCCTAGCCCTATGCAAAATGAACTGAGATAAACAGTTCGTAATCTTTGGGATTAAGGACTATGGAACTAGATGGGATTTATGCATGCTCAGTCTGCATAGGTTATGTTTACTACACCCTAATTTCCACAAGCACGCTCTGTGAGAATATGTGTATCTACTTATGTGCATGCGCATAACAATAATTGGGTTGAGCATAACATTTGGCAGGGTGCCTGAGGTTAGGTATCTGGGCACATTGGTGCCAGGGGTAGCACACTGGGAATCTCAGGATTATACCATAACTCTGTGCATTATATACCGTCTCTATTTTTAAATCACCCATTGCTTTCTCTCCGTAGGGCACCCATGTCATTCCGTTGCTGACTTCTGTGCTCCACGATGAATCTCAGTGGGAGAAGCCATATGCTTTCTACCCTGAACATTTTCTCAACGCTGAAGGAAAATTTGTAAAAAGAGACGCATTTATGCCTTTCTCTGCAGGTAGCAGCTCGTTTTTTCTTAAAAGAATGTATTAAAATGATATTCAGCTTTTCTCCCTGATTAAAAGTTCCCAAAGTGGCTAGCAGTGTAAGAGTTAATCCACAGTAGTTTCTTCTCTTTCACGTTGCTGCTAACTTAGAAATGCTCTATGAGGAACAGAATAAAAATAGTAATGATAACAATAATTTATTAAATTATGTGCCACCCAATTTAGAAAGAAATGTATCCCCAGGCATTAAATTCTTGGGTTGGATTTGTTATTCTCATTTTAACGGTGAACTCACAACCAGTATGTCATGAAAAGGTGGAATAAAATATTATTAACAAAACTAATAATCCCAAATCGTCTGCTCTCTATACCTTGTTACAGGTCGGAGAGTATGTCCAGGTGAGACCCTTGCCAGAACAGAAATGTTCATGTTCTTCACGAGCCTTCTGCAGAGATTCACCTTCCAGCCAGCTCCTGGATTATCAAAAGAAGACCTGGACCTGACCCGTGCAGTTGGGTTTACAACGCCGCCCAAGACTTACACGTTATGTGCTTTACCACGTTCCTCCATCTAGGAACCTTGTCAGGATCTACGCAAGCTAAAAACCATAGTTTCATTTAATTTAGACTAGCAATGCATACTAAACAGTTAAATGATTAAAGTGTTAATTGCAGGCCCGCTTGCTTGTTCCTGCCAACTTTGAGAATGAGTGTGCAGACTCTGACAAACATTCAGAGACTCATGAGTCTGGATTGCTTAGCTGCATCTGTCTTTCTTGGAGCCTTTTTTACAACATCTACTTTTTGGGTGTTGTCTTTTGGTGGCCTTGACCTATGCATTCTCTTAAACATTAGTAGTAGACAAGGGATATATCAAAATTGGCCCTTAGTTATTGTATCAATCACTACATAAAGAACAATCAACAAACTGGCCTCTTGTTTTTATATAATTTTTACTTATCTTTAAAACACTAAAAACCCTGCTTGCAGCTAAATCTCTGTGTGTTCAGATGAAAACCAGTGATGATCTGACTTGGACACAACATCAATGCACCAGCTGTATAGACAATGCACCAGCTGCATAGACAAAATATATTTTAGTTTTTAATGAGTAAGGTATGAACATCTATTTCCAAGAAGAAAAACTGGTTCCCAAATAAGCAAGAGAATTGGATCCATTCCTTGCTTTTACCCTTCTTTCTGAGCAGCACTATCACCCTTTCACTCTCATTTATGAAATAGTTATGGATGGCTACATTTTCATATTGTTAGTAAACAATCTACCAGTCATAAATAGAAATTACAGTACCACAGGACATGCTGAACATCCTCTCCAGTGTGGGAGTCACAGAGGCAAAGTTGTTTGTGGAAGGGAATTTTTTGATGTTTGCCATCAATAACTGCTGAAGGAAGTGCATTGAAGCTAATCTTTTGCAACTGTAAATATACACACATTCATGTCCTCAATCAACATTCTCTAATGTCACAAGTGTTCCTGATACTTTTATTGACTGCTTTGTCCAGTGACTACATGAGACATTACATCCCCTCACCTTCTTTCCCTATACTGTAGCTGCAGCAATAATGGAGGAAGGGGTGGCTGTTTATTAAGTATGAGGATGTGATTTGTGAGTGTAGGGGGAGGCAAGGGGAGACAATAAATGTGAAGTAACCTCAACTCAGTTTTTTGCTTCTGACCCACTTATTGTTGCTGGCGAAGCAGTATCTCCCTGCTTCACTAAAGATTAACCATGAGCCTTAGAGAGAAATGTGTGTCCCCACATACCGGTTAATTACAAAGGAGAAAAAGAGAAAGAAAGGATGATGCCTCAGGGGCGAGCACCCGCTGCCTAAGCCCTCCCCACCAATGGTCTGTAGCCCCAACAGATTACTTTTGGTGTAATACGATCCTTAAAACAGGACTATTCCCTGCTTCTGTTCCAGAGGCCTCTGTGAAATGAAATGATGGCCACCAAGGGGAATGCATTCAACAGAAAGACAACCGAGATGCCATTTTCATTCATCCTGAAAGAGGAGAGGACCATCTCCAAATCAAACCAGTGGCTTACACAGGAATGTAGTTCCCACATGTCCCCCATTCATATCTGAACATTAACATGTATGTACGCATGTCAGAATGGATACAGGAATGAAGATGGAGTGCACAAAGTACAGATTTATATACTGTATTTTAGGGAAGCAGGGAATAACAACTTTAAATGGGGGGAAATGGCTCAAGAAACTCATGTCAAATAATATTTTAGAATCATGTCTTCGATTTAGAAATGGAAAGGAAAATCAGTAGAGTCAATGCGTTTATCGTTACCTTCTTCCTGAGTAAGGTGCACAAGATCTCACTTCTCGAATGATCATTGACACACTGGGAAACATTCCAGGGGTTTTTTGCCTTTGAAACAAATATAATAGTCTTATGCTATCTTAAAACCTAATTGGTTTGTTATTCAGGGGGTTTCATGGCTCACAGCCCACTTCACCAGATGCCTGGAATATAGTCCTGAGGACAGGATTTTCAGTCACCCCTGCCCTAGTTACTTCTTGTTTGGACTACTGCAATGCTTTCTATGTGGAGTTGTAATTGTTGTTAACCATGTTTAGTTAATCAATAATAGAATCCTATGCAACAGCAATGCTCTTTGCTCAGTCTTGACCTCTCACTTAGTTTATCATGTCCACAGTTAAGCTGCTCCTGATTAGACACTGAGTCTGTTGTTTCTGTGAAGGCATCAATCTGCTGGAGATATTGTGTGTGCGTCTGTGTTTAATGATCATCCCACACATGGCTTTTCTTCCTCTTAAGTATTTGAGACTACATTGCAGGATAAAAACAAGATTTGTGGTGATTTTCATAATGGAACCCTCACCAATGTTATGATTAACTCATTCAGGGCTTGCATGAAAACGGCTTCAACCATTCTGAGATGGATCATTCTGTTAAATGATAAAGGATCCTGAAATCCAGAAGAAGTACTTTTCCTCTGGTTGGACTTCAGGACTCTAATCATTCTTGATTTTAAGTAAAGAAAATTAAGTAAGAAGAACTGGAAGAAGAAAGAGGTGAACTATGGCTGTTACTTGAATTATGGTAAGTGTCCAGTCCTAGGTCAAGCACACAGAAGCACACAGAGAGGTGGTTGCAAACTTTACTGATACATTTTGTGAAATAAATAATCAAACAGCAAAGGAAATGTGAGTGCAAGTGCACATACATGTACAGTAGAGAAACAAGTCCCCTAAAGTTCAGCAAGGTTGCCTCAAAAGAGTTCCAATCCAAAACGGTGGGCACAAAAGTGGTCAAGCCAAGTCCAAGGGCCCAAAGGTTGCAGAGGTTCATCAGCCGGTCCAGGTCCAGAGTCAAAGTCATGAGGTTTCAAACTGGGAGTCAGGCACACGGCATCTGGTAAACGAACAGTTGTTGCTAATGGAGAGGCTTAAGCTTGCCGTTCTTCTTAAAGAATTAAGAAGATGGAAATGTTTAAATGGAAGCAGCCCCAGTATTGTGATGGAATGGACTTATGAAGGCCATGCTCAGGGAGGGAAACATGCTGTTTTGTCTCCTGAGGGGCGAGGAAGAGATAAGAGGATGAGGCTGGCACCTCCCTGAGGAATTCACTCTATTTTGACTGGCTGACTTTGGGAATTGAGTTTCAGTCTGGGAAGATTCTTGCTAGAGGTTGTAGCTAATAAACATTGCTGAACTGATCTGCATGGTCTCCTGGAGTTCCTTGGGCTAGGCCTGACAAGTATTGCTCAGTTGGAAGGGCACAGCTGCTTTCTCGCCAGGAGCCTCGCAGAGCGCCTTTGCCCTGGTCTCCTCTCCGCATGGCGAGCCCTTGCCCAGGGAGGGGGTGACAGCAGGCTCCTCATCTTCAGAGACCGGCGGCAGCTGTGCCTGCCGGTGACCAGGCCATCCCCCCACCTCCCCCCCCCGCTCCCCCCGCACCCGCACCCCCCACTCTCCCGCCGCCTCCTCCTCACCAT